TCTGAGTCCGTGACGTAATACTGTATAGTACTGACGCCTTCTTTAACAGGATAAATGAGTTTACTTTTGTTTTCTACAATCATCACATCATAGCGATTCAGCAACCAATAGTCCCTGGGTTCCTTCTTAGTAGTCATTTTGGCTTTTTGTACATCATTTATTAACTTCTGGTAAGTAGTTTCGGTTAAGAAAATACTGTTTTTTGCAGCATTAACTCGAATTTTGCACAGTTCATCGTCGAATCGTTGTTTCATGTCTATAGACTATGACACCTTCTCCAACACTACAGCTTGCTCCTCCATTTTCATGGACCACAGTAAAAAACTAATTTTTTGTTGAACAAATTTAAGTGAAATTGCGTATTTTGACACTCCCGAACAAACCGCAGAGTGCAACTGACAAATTCTAAGCCTGAGCCGCTCGTTAAAAGTCACGTGCCTTGCCACGTGGTATTTGAAACGAAACGGAGATGTATTTCATACTTTGCCGGTTTCTCATTTGGCATTCTATAGAATGCCTAGGAAATCTGTGAAATATAAATCATTTCATAGATTGCCGGCTAGTTTTAGGCATTATATACAATGCCTAGCCGGATTTCAAACTTTGCCGGTAACATATATATATATATATATGACTTCAAATTTAAATCAGTTCACACTTTCAATTTCAATTATCCTATTAGCTACTGGAAATGTAATGAAATTTTATCTATTCTTTATATAAATGGATTTATAAATATTTTCAGCAATTATATTAAAGTAAATTACTTACTGGAGATAAATTTCCCATCATGAGAAAAGCAGTAAGTGTTGAATCAAATAAAAATCCAATTCGTTTTGTATGAGTACTGCCACCAAATACAGCTGGGACTAAATGAAATAATAATTAATTGTGATTGAAATTAAATTATTAATAAAACAAATATGCATCCTCTAAAAAACTATTGAGTTAAATATCAATAATTAAATTTATTAAAAAATTATTACAAAAATAGCCGTAAAAATTTTACTATATAAGTTGATGACAATATTTAGTTGTCATAAGTAACAAAACACTAACTTAATTTCAAGAAAATCTCTGTAAAAAGTTTTAATTATTTTTAGACTGAAAATTACAAATTTAATAGAAAAATCAGTTGGACAAGTTAATATTAATAAAAAATAATATACTGAACATTTAAAAAAACAATAATTTTTATCAGTTAGCTGTGTACATGAATGCCTATATTGTCAAAATAAATAAAAATCTTTATTCTTGCAGTAATTTTTATTCTAGAGATGATATACTCTACTACTAAATTACCATAGCAATCTAATAATGCTGATATTAAGCTGCCTACTTTAATGAACTAAAAGCAGTTTTAATAGCCTTGTGAATGTTTTGCACTATTTTTGTTATGGGTTGATAAGTTCTATAATCTTATAAAAAAAACCATAAATTTATTGTGATGGATAAATATTGTATTCTAGCACAAAAGCTAGAATACAATATTTATATTGTTTTGATAAAATGAATGTAAAAGACATATTTTTTTCAAAAACAGTTTCTGTTATACTGTAAATGAATGTTTAAAGATGCTTGTGTGAAAACTGAAATTCTACAAATACAGAAAGTTCTAATTGCAATATTGAAATTTTTGATATAGGGTAAATGCACGAGTTGTGACCAGTATAAATGGTTTTACTGAAACCATTTAGTATTGTGAGACTCCATACTGCATAATTTATTAACATAACTAACTGTCAACTTTCACACCTGGGAATAAATTGTCTCTTAAGTTCTCAGCAGTGAAAGTGATGCTTTCTCATAACCTTCACACCTACTGTTTCAATTTCATCAGTTCAATATAGCAAGTAACTGCAAGCTTAGGCAGTCGTCGCCAGTTCCTCAACCGGGGATGACATTACATTTAGATACATCGTTTTATTATATGTTTGGATATATCATTCTATTACAGTCGACTCCCCTATAAGATATAGATACGTTCCATTCTTTAGGAATCCGATTTCTTACGAATCCTTCCAATCATAACCCGACACGTGTCAAGTTTACGGACTACGGCTGTTTGAAAGATTTTCTTCCATAAAATTAATCGATTCTAGACTAATTCGACTCAACATTTCCAAAATACGTATATTTTTTTTTTGGGAATAATCCGTATAAACTACACTATAAATAAAAAATTGTAGGATTACTTACCGAGTGTGTACCCTTTGACTACGCTCGTTGCTAAAGCTTGGTTTCGTCGCGGAACAGCGCATCAAATTGCGGCCGCGATTTCTGATATTATTTTTCTGCGAAAACTTCGTTGACCTTTGGAGACATCATTAATATAAATAATTTTTATGGCCGTTAAATAAGAAATGTTTCTTTCACAAGAAATGTATAAAATTACAGTACTAAACAGACGATAGGTCGCCTAACTCGCCGTAGCGTGACGCTAGACGGTGGAAAAAATATATATAATTATAATAAAGTTACAATAAATTAAGTTAATATATATTTATATATACAGTACATAATTTATATATAATTAATATATAATTATATGTACATTACCTAATTTATATATAATTTATATAATACTGTCCAGACGATAGAAATCTCTCCATAGTTGGCACTACGGACGGCGGGAAAGTAGTTCGGCTGCCCGATGACGTTTGAGGTAATTATAGGGGGTTTTTTACTGTTTTTTACGGATACCTGTCATAATTTTTTCATAGTTTTATAGGAATCGTAATTATAGGGACCATAATTATAGGGGGGTCGAATGTATATTGTCGGATACATTGTTTTAATTATCTCTACAGGTATGTCATCCTTCTTGCCTACAACCATAGTATCTATTGTATACCCAGAATAAGAACTGTCATCTAGAACTTTCTTCCTTTCAACTCAACCAGCACGCATCAGATCTCCATCCTCTATAAGATCCTCTACAAGGTATTTATCCCTACGTGAATCTCATGTGAACTCAGCCTATCTATCTAGTGGTCGCAAGAGAGAGAGTCAATATAATCCAATATTGTATATTGTAGTCTATCATTTACTTTTGTTGAAATTAAACAGTTATTTAGTTGTTAACTTTGGTTTCTGAATACATTACTTCCATCAGACTCTCTCTCCGTCTCCATCCAGAACCCAATCACTTGCACACACAGCTACTCGCGTGACCTACTTTTTAACCTACACTAAATCACCATCATGGCTCCCGTGTCAATCTGGGGACAGTGGTGTCAGTCCTGACAAGGCATCAAAGAGGTGCCGACCCTCCAGTCACAGTACTATAAAATACAAGTTTATGACTTTCTCCTTAAATAAATCTTTTAAAAGTAGCTTGAAATTTGCAACATAAACATTTTGTGACATTTTGAGTATCATTTCATAATGGTAATATAATAAAATTTTCCATTTGTGGCCAACTTTTACCAGTAGCTGCCATCAACAAGCTCCCCTTTTAGCCAAGTTTGATCGTTTATTTTGTAAATGGAGGGTCATAAACAAGACAAAGAAGAAAAATATCCATGTTCTCTTTCTTTTATTTCATGTAACTAAGAAACTTTATTTTTTCTATACTTCATTTAATCTCTAGAACATAACATGCACCCAAGATTTTGCACTTATAGGCTGTACATTTTCAATTACATCATCCAATTGATATCAAATGCAATTCCTTCTCAGGCCATTTCTATGGCACTAACTTTTGCTGAAGTGCTGGTCACATCAATTACCACTCCTAGCAAGTATTCCTCCCTTCACAACATGCAATCTCTGTGAAAATGGTCTCTTCACTGATATGTTTCCAGAAAAATCACTTCTGTTCAACTTAACTGCAAATTTAGATAACCAATCAGAAGCTACATTGGCCTGAGAAGTGATTTTCATCAATGGACTATTTGAATTTAATACTAAAATAACAGATTTTTTTCCCTCAACCTAGGCAGAAATGGTACAATGGCCACAAACTAGTGCATCTACCCTATAAATTGCAATATATATTTGTTTACATATAAAATTAAAACAGATTCCCCATATACTTCAAAATTGAGTAATGCTTTGTCTGTGTCTAACATTGTAGGAATGTTGTCTTATTCTAAATTCAGTTTGTTGTTTAAAGAAATAGTTAATGTTTTAATCAAATTAAATTCTTCTTGTGTATGTCGTTATCCAAGAATTAATATTTTTATCTTAAAATAAATTAAAATAATAGAATATTATATATTTTCTTGTAATATCCATATTCAAACCTGTGAGGAATACATCATCACCATTCCCTGTTTTCCACCAATCACAGAGATTTGAAATATAAGGTTTTTTGGAACATAGTTTTATCTACTATTCATATTACATATTTCAACCATCTATACAATACTCTTAAGATACAGCTCTTAGTATATTGCTGACATAATTTCCAGAATTTTTAGTATAATACAGTTTTTTATAGAAATAAATAAATTTTAAAACTGACAACTCATTCTCTAGCACAGTGTTCCGCAACCTTTTTCTACTCGCGGCACACTTATGACTCGACACGACTCAACACGGCACACCAAAATGTTATTCCCCTTAAAAATGTATTTATTATACTATTAATAGAATTACGTAATGCCACTAACCTATTATTATTATTATTATTATTATTAAACAGACATCAATTCGTGCGTTTATTAAAATTTATGAACTTTAATTCACTGTAGAGTGTATAGTGTAACAAATACACTTTTCTACTACTATTAAAATAAATAATTCTACTCATACCGTTTCAATGTGATATTTGCGTCTGCTTAGTTGCACACAGACGGCTGATCCGTGGTGGAATCGTTGACAATGCTAGTCTCATTTCTTCATCGACGGATCTGAGTCTCTCCCTCTTTGATGTTTTAATTTCAGTCAACGTCGAGAAGCCCAGTTCACACAAATACGTAGTAGAAAATGGCAATAACATATTAACTGCCATCTCGGAGATAGCCGGGTATTCACTCCTTACTGCCAACCAAAATGTATCCAAAGGCACTTCGAGGAGTTGTAATTTCAATGTTCTGTCTGCTTTTAATTCCGCGAGTTCCTCTTGTAAATGAATAGGTAGAGATTCTGAAATCGCAACGAATGGATTACGAACCCAGTCGATATCTTCAACACTGTCTTCAAAATACTTCTTAAACCTCTGCTGCAAGATTTGTAAATGTTCTTTAATTAGATCCATCATCACTTTATTACCGGAAGCAAGTGACCATACAGTCGAGAACATTACAAATGAACCATTTTCAATTCTCTGTATCCACAAATTTAGCTTATTCACAAATCCTTGAATCTTATTCATACTAGTAAGAATATTTTCGTTCCTACCTTGCATTTTTCTGTTCAGTTCATTCAAGTGTACGAAAATATCAGAAAGATACGCCAACTTACATACCCATTCATCATCTGCAAATAAATCCGCGTACTCGTGCCTTTCGACAGTCAAAAATGCACGTACCTCGTCTTTAAGTTCCAATATTCGCGTTAATACTTTTCCTCTTGATAACCACCGTACTTCTGTATGTAGCAGGAGTGTGGTGTGTTCTGATTCCATTTCCTGACACAAAACGGAAAATAGCCGCGAATTTAGGGGTCGCAATTTGACAAAGTTTACGACTTTTACTACTTCGTCCAGCACAACTTTCAGAGAAGGTGGCAAAGATTTAGCAACAATGGCTTCACGGTGAATAAGACAATGATCGCATCGTATGTTAGAATTAATTTCACGTACTTGAGCTACAAATCCTTTCACTCGGCCTGTCATAGCTGCGGCTCCGTCTGTACAAACACTAACACAGTCCTTCCATTTTAATTCATTTTTGAGCACATATTCGTTAGTTACACGAAATATTTCTTCACCAGTGGCTCGCTCGGGAAGTTGTTTGCAAAAAAAGAAATTAGTTGCAATTACATTACCATCGATGTACCGAATATAAGCAAGAAGTTGTGCGTGGCCGCTAATATCGGTGGACTCGTCGATCTGAAGTGAGAACTTTCCACTGCTCTTGATTTTCTCCTTCATAATGTCTTCAATGTCACTGGACATCTCAATAACTCGGCGACTGATTGTGTCAGCAGAAAGAGGAATTTTTGATATTTTACTAGCAGCTTCTGAACCCAGGACTATTTTCACCATCTCTTTACAAGTAGGCATTAATAACGTTTCAGCTATTGTATGTGGTTTTTTGGCCTTTACGATAAGTTCGGCTACTTTATAGCTAGCTTCCTGTACTTTGTCCGAAACACATACTGTTGTAGTCATGAATGCTGCTTGTTTTTGGTTTTGTTCCAACAACCGACGAAAATAATTGACATCTTTGCTTGACAGAGAAGAATGTTTTGTTGACAAATGTCGTTTCAATTTACTGGGAACCATAGCAGCATTAGTAAGTTTTTCACCACAAACAATACACTCAGGGATTGGGCACGTTTTATCACCACACCAAAAAAAACCGTAAGATAAATAATCACCACTATACTGCCGGCGCACTAACTTTTGTTTCTTTTTTTCGGGCTCGATGCTATCACTACTTCTACTCGTCGACGGAACACTCGGTACATGGAATTTGTCCATCTTAGAAAAAATTACATAGTATAATAATAATACAAAAAAATAAGACTGACTAGCAATCACAATTTTCGGACTACTTCAGAGCATAGCTGAGATAGAACTGAAATATTTGCAAGACGCGGGACCTATATTCTTCAAAGGGAAGTCTAACAATGGGTGGGGACAAGTACCAAAATAAAGTAATAAAGGAAAGGGTAATCCCTGTAATTTTGGGAAAAGCACGTACACAGAACAATTGGCAAGGTTAACAAAACACCTGTGAGCGAGTTTATTTTATTTTATATTTAATTTCTTAGAATGCATAAAAATGCATGGTTTGTAATAAATAATAAACAAACATCATCATATTTCACCAGTGCTGCATCAGAGAATGAAATACAGGCGTAAGAAACACAGCAACTGTGATAAAAATATTCTATTATTTGTCAAGTTTTATTTATATATGTAAAAGTTCATGTCACACCTTATACCTTGTGACGGCACACCGGTTGCGGAACACTGCTCTAGCACTGCCCAGTACTGAGAAGTCCTTTCTGTGTAAAAAGTACCAAAACTTTTTACACAAAAAGGACTGCTTAGTAGCAGGCAGTGCTAAATTATATGAGCTGTCAGTTTTAAAATTTAATTATTTTAAAAGTTTTAGTTCAGTATAGTTGTATATTGCTGACATAATTTCTATAAATCTGAAGAGTGCTACATACCATATTTATGCACATATAAAGCAGGGTACACTATCAGTTTACGTGAACATGTGGATGAAAAAAACTGACAGTTTTGTCATCCACACGTTCAGGTACACCAGTATGTGTGTACTCGGCTTAATAGCATGTTCTTACATATAAGCATGCTCTTATAGATGGAATGAAGTGATGCCATATTTTATACAGTACCTAAAATCTCTATTTTAAACAAGAACTTTTATAATTTTGAAAGCGTTTATAGTTTTTCATTTTAATAATGATTACCATATAAATGTCACTGAATATTTACCGTATCAATACTTTTACATTTAATTTACAATGACACATCAGTGCCATTCTCTTATATGCCAAAACTAGCTGGCACATCTAAAATTATGCTCTTATATGTGATGTATCCTGCTTTGCTTATAAGAACATACATGTTTCAAAAACTCAAAAACAACTGATTATCACATGTAAGAGCATGCTCTTACTTGCAGAGAAATATGGTAAATGGATGAAACATATACAATGGGTGATCAGTTAATGAACATAATCTGTTCCAAGACTGTGTTCGCTATCCAAATTGTTTGTTAACCGATTATCGATTTACCATAGGTTTTTATGAGAATTTGATTAATTCATTTTGGAAACGCCAAAAAATAAAAAATTATATACTTTTTTATTACATTTATTTATATGTAATAAAAATACATGTATACACAGTCTTGAATTTTTATCAGTCATGTTTTTTCTGTTTATGGGGCATTAAAGAACCTGTCCAATGTCGATTGCTTTTCTCTCTTCTTCAGGATTTTTCAGAAGTAATTAACAGCATTGTCATTGTAGAGATCCCTAAGACTATTAACCTCAACCTGGTTTGGATGCCATTCTAAGACTGTTGTTCTGACATCCTCCCACTTTTTCAAAAGATCTTTAATAGCAATTATTGGCATTAATCCTCTTTTTCAAAATAAAACATATCTCGCTAAGTTTCTAGGCATTCTTCTGTCATCAGATCAGTTTCCATTATGAGATCTTCAATGTTATTTATTTCTCAGATGTAATTTTTGTTACCCCTTTAGCTGCTTGAGTCTTCTTGATTATACTGTTTCTTTCTTATCTAAGATTGAACTGCAGCCTACTGTAGACCTGTTCAAGCCATACTGCCCAGCAACATCAGACTCTGCCCACTCTCTACCTTTGCTATTATACTCTCACCTTTCAAAAATAAAAACCGACACAAAACTAAATGAGTGCCCGCCCAATGGTCTCATGAATACTATAAAATAATTCTTTCTGAAAGAAAAATAAAAGGCTAAAATTACAAGGGAGTTTCAAAGTTCAAAGGAATACTATCCAATCAGTATATACATAAAAATCTTTCACAAAAGTGTTTGTAGTCTGAACGGTTCATTAATCGATCACCCATTGTAATTTGAATAGTTAAAATGAGCATATGATTCAAAAAGCCTTGGAAGTCTGTGTTTGATGGAAAATACAAAATGATATTGTTATATTCATTGCAAGTTCAAATAAAAATTGAATAACATTGTTTTAATAGTATATATTATGAATATTTGGTATTCAGAGTAATTTTGTTGTCATAATACTATTGGTATAATTATGAAGTTAAATTGATAAAAGGAAGATGGCATCTTGTGTCACACACAGATTAAGAATTCTATAGATTTACAGTCGACCCCCCTATAACACTGTTGATTTTTCCATTTTATATGAATTCCATGTTGTATGAGTCACTTAGATTTTACAAATACGTGAGCTGTTCACAGTCCAGCACACGTATTTGTAAAATCTAGTGACTCGTACAACATGGAATTTATATAAAACGGAAAAATCAACAGTGTTATAGGGGGGTCGACTGTATTTATATTATTTCATATACTTAAAAATTTAAATGTTATTAGTGTTCTAATTCTTTGAGATTTTTATGTAATTTGTTGTTGTTCTTTTTAATAATTATATAAATCAAGATCTTACCCTGTTCTTCAAAGCTATCTTGCTTATTAATAGGATTTGAAAACTCCACTACAATTCCTTCTTTTTCCAATTCACAATTCAAAGCATCCATAAATGTTTCAACATCTTCATGTCTTGCTCTATATAAACAAAAATTAATATTATCTATTGCGATTAATGCATTTAAAAGGATAAATATAATTTATTTATTTAGAAGCATTTTTGATGTGATTTGTTTTCAAATGTTTATTTTTTTATATATAACAATACATTTTCCACTTATTTTATTCATATCCAGTATGTATTTTCAATCTATTTTATGTAATCATTTAATAAATAACACAAACCAGCAAATATAATTTAATACAAATATGCTATGACAAATGCTTTTGATTAGAATAGGATCTGCTTCAGGTCAAAATGTTCGATAGAATTAGAATGCCTTTTGAACATTTTGAACTGAAGTAGATCCTATTCAGATCAAAAGCATTTGTCATAGAATATTTATATTAAATTATATTTGCTGTTATAGTTTCGAAGGTTTTGTTGATGTTATTTATTAATTTATAACCAGCTGTGGGAAGATGTAGTAATCGTTTAATAAAGAAAGAATTACTGTTTTGCTATGGTAACAAATTAAAAATATAAGTTTCCTAAAATTTGCATTAATATGTTTTAATCATTAGAACACTTACTAATTACTAATTTGAACACAATTCATGATACATTTTTTTTCAGTTTAAATTATGTGCAGTATTTTTAAAACAATTTCTTAAACTGCACAAATAATTTCAGCATACAAATATATCATTATTATTATTATAAATAGTATAATTTTTAAAAGTACAACTGATGTAAAGTATATCACTTAATAAATCTGAAAGCTTTAAAAATCTTTGTATTGGGTGTATAAATATGACTCCGCCCTTTTTTAATAAACAGCATTAGTAGTACTGATTGCATACAAGTGATTCTGGCAACACTTTTATTTGAAGGGTTTGACAGCATTCTTCCTGTTTAAAGTGTAAATAATAATTATTTTTATTTGATTAAAAATGTTGAGTTTTGTGCCAGGAAAACAGCATTTGCTGGAAGTCTTGCTTCATTATTTTATTTCAAAGAAAACTGCAGCAGAAACATATCATTTGCTGTTGGAAATTTACGGTGAACATGCTCCATCCAATACAACATGCAAAGAGTGGCTTCGATGGTTTAAAAATAATGATTTTGATACACATGACAAAGAGCATGGAAAACCACCAAAAAAATTCCAAGATGAAGAATTGGAAACATTACTTGACAACGATCCTTGCCAAACATAATCGGAACTGGCTGCTGCTTTAAATGTTTCTCAACCATGTATTTCCCAACGTCTACATGCAATGAGAATGATTCAAAAGCAAGGAAATTGGGTCCCATATGAACTGAAAGAAAGAGACATTGAATGTCAAAAAACCATATGTGAATTATTGCTCCAAAGACAAAAAATAAAAGGTTTTTTGCACCAAATTGTTACTGGAAACGAAAAATGGATATACTTCAACAATCCTAAATGACCAAAAGCATGGGTGCATCCAGGTGACCCAGGTCCATCAATGCTGAAACAGAATGTTCATGAAAGTAAAGTTATGTTGTGTATCTGGTGGACCAAAAGGGTGTCGTGTACTATGAGCTGTTGCAACCGAATCAGACAATCAATGCTGAACGTTACAAACAACAGTTAATCAAATTGAACGAAGCATTGAAGCAAAAACATCCAGAATATGCCAAAAGACATGACACGATTGTCTTCCAACATGACAACGCTTGCCCACATGTTGCAAGATCAGTCAAGGAAACTCTAGAAGAACTTTGCTGGGATGTATTGCCCACCCACCATATTCTTCAGATGTCGCTCCTTCAGATTACTATTTGTTTCGATCCATGCAGAGCAACCTTTCAGGAAAGCAGTTCAGATCTTATGAGGCTATTCAAAATTGGGTTGATAACTGGATTTCTTCAAAACAACCAGACTTCTTCCTTCATGGAATCTGTTTGTTGCCTGACAGATGGGCAAATGTTGTAACTTCTGATGGAAAATATTTTGAATAAATTTTTCTTTTATTTTAAAGACAAACAAATGTCTTACATTTAACCAAAAAAAGGGCGGAATCATATTTATACACCCAATAAAACCTTTATTGAAATATAATAAATAAACTAATAGTAGTATAATTAAAACTCTATTATTTTTTTAAATTTTATACTAAATTTTCAGAATCAAAAAATTTTGTCTTTTACTCCAAATAAACACTCTTGTGACATTTTTAGTAATTATAAACTGGTGTTATGTAAAAATAAAATACTGTTATTAATTTGATATCTGAAAAGACAGTGACTTTAAAAATGTCATCAGATCTTTTCATAGAAAAATAATTCTAATTTTATGTTTTATTCTTATAATATTTGTACAAAACTTTTTTTTTGTTTTATTTATTATTAAACATATTGTTAAAATACAAAATGAAAATACATATCTTTCTTGTATCAACCCAATTCCATCTATTATTCAAACAAAAGTATAGCTAATTTCAAAATATCACTTATTTTATTTTGATTAAACATTTTTTGAAATATTTTGCATCTCATTGTCATATCAAACATAGAACAATATCTATTTATATACAAAATAAATTTTAATGGATTCAAGCATTTTTTTTAACTTTGTTAATTTATGAGTTTTAGAATGTTTTAAAATACTAACACAATCAAACATTAACCATACAATAAAAGTTGCTAAAATTATTTAATTCAAATTAATATACATTAATGTTCTTTTTGTTTTTAAATTCTTTATGGTGACTGATGCCATTTCCACACATGAGTTTAATTCTTTATTTTTAACATTGTTATAATGAAAAGACCAGATATATAAGTTGCAAAGGATTTTAGTCTTTCATCTAAATTTTTATAAAACATTGAAAATAGTATAAAAATACAATTTATTTCTCCTTATTGCATTATATTCATTTTATAAAGAAAGACAAGGTACGAGATTTGTCAAGTTATGAATGTTCAATCTGAAGATGATATGTAAAATATTTTGAAAAGCCTTTAAACAAAAAATAAGTTTGACTTCTTGAAATGTTTAATGATACTTTCATTTGAATGAAAATACATAAAAATTTTAATATACAGCTCTCCCTTAATAGTCCGACAGGTATGGGACCAAAGGGGTGTCGGATCACCAAAAGTGTCCGGATTACCAAAAATAATTACATATTTTGCATTGTTTTGCTAGCAGTAGCTTACAATATTCTCTACTCCAACTGTTCGAACAGAACTGCTCTCAGAAAACACACGAAATGTGTGTCATCGTGTAAAAATTGGATGGGGAGATTCACGTCGTGACATGCTTCTGTGCAAGCAGACATGTAACGGGACGGGTATCTTGACGGGAGGTGTGTCGGACTACTGAGCATGTTGGATTAAAAATTGTCAGACTATCGAGGGAGAGCTGTATTTCTAAAATTATAAATTACTAACAATACTGCATTTATGGATTTTTTAATAATGTCATATATTATCTTTATATAATAAAATTTTACACTATGAAAGTAAATGGTGTGTCAAGCAGTAGGAAAGATTGCCACAGAAATACACTTTAAATTTTATTTTATAAAAATTGTTTAATGATATGATATTTATCATATAAACTATAATTTTAAGGATAGTGAATTTAAAAAAAAAACAAAATTTTCATTATTTTAATAATATATATGATACTTACTTGGATTGTTTGGATGATAAAACACCTTTCCATGATGGATGATAGAGATTAGGATCTGTATCACTTCTTTTCTTATATGCAAAACCCAATCGACAATACATAGATATTGCATTCTAACAACAAAAAATGAAAATTATGTTTAATTTAATTTCCTAGTTAATTATTACATGTATCAAAATTTATAAATATAACTTTTCAGTAATTAAATAAATAAAAATCAATATCCAATAAAAAAATTTTTTATCAAAAACAACTTCATATCAGTAGTAGTAAAATTAATAAACTAAATGTTATTCCAACCATACACATGAAGCATTATCCAATATAACTGTTAGAACAATAAATACAGACGATAATAAGACAATAAAGTAACAAAATTAATAAGTAAAAATTTTTAATCATTATTACTCTATTATCTTCTATACTTGTAGGTTTATAAGAATAAGAAAATGCAAAAAATATAATTATGATTAATTTTTATCTAATTTTCTTATTTCATCAAGTAAGATTTTTGTAATATAAATTTGTCTATTTTTAAAAAAATATTCTTGAATTTAAAAAATAATTAAGATATAGCAAATAAATCAATCAGAGTAAACTGAATTTCATAAATGAATATGACCAAGTCATGATGATAAAACTTAAAATTTATACACTGTCTTGTAAAATTTCATTATTTATTAAATAATTTCCCATTTACTTTTATTAATTGTTGTTTTGATTGTTTTGAAATTCAGATATTATGCACAGGGTATATGAAATAATCTTGTTTTCGTCATATTCAAATTTAATAGATATAACTAAAGATGCAGCCAAATTAATCTACACTAAAATATTAATGCTTAAATAAAAGACAACTAAAATTTTACCAACATCCTTCAGTAAATCTATGGCTTAAAAATGTTTACATAAATGATCATCATTATTTGACACTAACAATAATTGAAATTTATTTATGAGTAAATAAAGATTTGATAATATAAATATCAAAGTTGAAAGTTAATGTGTTAATGTATGTATTCAGATTATTTTTGCAGATTTAATCTAATATAAAAACACTTCTGAAAATAACTTCTCGGTCGGCATTCATTCATTCATTCCTTTCTAATTACCTTTTAATTCTGTTATCAACAGAAAGATTTTTTTAAAGTTTGGTCAGGAAGCCTGATGTCATCACTTGGGTACCATTTTAGTCAAAAGAAAAGAACTTTCACAGGTAGGATGGAAAAAAATGAAAAACTACATTCAATTAAATGTTGTTGACTTAATTTGCATGCAAAAATGAATATTGAACTGTGAAGAAATTTTATAAGTCTTTATTTCTTCATTTTCCCTATTTACTTATAATAAATTATAATTTCATGCAAATGAAAAGATTTAATTATTTTTCAATTTCATAAGACATAATTTTTTATGTAAAAAATACAAAGTATTAAAGATAATACAAATACATTATTCTTGTCTTCTCTGTTGTCCTCTTTCAACATCACAGAACATGATCCACACAGTGGAGTCGACCTTCCTTTTTAGGTTACTTTTCCCACCTATATTTATGCAAATCAGGTAAAAAGTTCCTTGACTGTGGATTCCATCAGAAAAAATTTTTACAATTGTAAAGAAAAATTCTAAAAATTCAGGACATAATATATTTACCTGATTTGCATAAATATAGACAGGGAAAGTAGCATAAAAAGAAAAGTCAACTCCACTATGTGGATCATGTTCCTGTGATGTTGAAAGAGGATGAAAGAGGATGACAGAAAAGACAAGAATAATGTATTCATATTGCCTGTAAAAAATACAAAGTATTAAAATGTATTTTTTATATAAATGTATTATGTCCTGGATTTTTAGAATTTTTCTTACAAGACAAAATTTTTGTTGAACTTTTATGCATAATTAAAATTCCCACAAAAATATTTAAAAATAACAATGTTTATTTCATGTAGAAACAAAATTTTATGTTAACTAGCAAGTTATTTTATAAAGAAATAAGAATTATAACCAACCAACAAGCATGTTTCAATGGAAATTAAGTGAAATCACATTAAAAGTGAGTCATAGGTATTAACCAATAGATTCTTTAGTTTATTTCTTTGCAATGTATTAGACCTAAAAACAATTAATTTTTTAATAAAATATTTATTTATTTCATAATTTAACAATTTCATTAAATAACACTAGTATCATTTAAATAAAATAACAAAAATATGTTTAAAAATAATTTACTTTAAATAATATAAAATATAAATGAACACACAAACCTTGACTAATTGAAGATCAGTTTGGAGAACATTGGCTNATATTCTAAAGTAGCATATTTTCAACTTACAAAAATTTTAAATTAATTTAATCTTCTAAATAAACACAGTATCTTCTTAATTTTGTAACCTTTTGAACCTTTTGTGACCTTTTGTAAAATCTTTTCTAATTTCTTTGTTAATATAATTGTTAACTTTAAAATAAAAATTAATTAGTACATATAAAAGACTTTTAGCAGATATACATTTATATTTGAGAAATTTTTAGCATACACCCATTTACTTGTTAAAAAATATTATTTTCTATTACAAAAATATCTATTGTTTGTATAAAGTTTGTGAGAGTTTTTTAAAAATTAAATATCTTCTGGCATTCACTTAAATGTTTGTAGAAATTTATTGCATACAAATGACAAGAATCATAATGTAAAATATAACAGAAAATGTCTATCTTAATATGTATTGCTCAATAAATACATTTTGTAAATACTGAGTTAGTAATATTAAAAATATTTTTTAATAATTTCAAGTGTAATAATATTTTAAAATAATGTATAATGTAAATGAGAGAGTATTAAAAATATAATTTATCTAAACATTACTTTTAGGTCATCAAAATAATTTTGTTATTCCTATTTGTAATTTGGCAATCGGCTAAATTATTAAAATAAAAATGAAAATATTTTAATATATAAAAGTTTATTTATTTTGTTTACCTTAACATCATCTTCAGTAACAAAACCAACTCTTGCAATCCACCAAGGTTCAATTGGAACATCAATTGGTTTTACTGGAAGCAGTTCTCGAACAGACTTCAACCTCACACCAAAAATTTTCTATTTCAAATTGAAAGTATTAATATATCCAAATGTTTATAACAAAAAATTACTTGTATTTTGTAGACAACTGTAAACCCTAAAGAGGGACAGACAGCCTATCCAAAATCATAATAAATTGTGTCTACCCACTTCTGTGTGATTACTCCGACATCATCAATAAGGACTCATAGAGCCATAAACTTAGTGCTCATAGATTCAAATTAAATTACAGTTTCTTTAATTAATATTTAATTGTAGAACAATAAATATACAATAAGGTCTTGTTTTACAAGGTATTGCTTATGATTCAGATAATTTTTGGCAGGTGGTGAATGGTTAGGTTAACCCACTCCCAGGCCAGAACAGAGTCATGCAAATTTGCTCTTTATATTCAGAAACACTGGACTAAAATGTTATTCATTATCATAAAAGTATAAATAAAATGTTTTAAACAATTTTAACATCTTTCTATTAATTGTAAATGATTGCATAAGTGTCTAATTATATAATCTTAGACAATTAGTTATCTTATAAATCATTTGATGTATTGTAAAAATTCAAAATGCAGCTATGATAATATATTTTGAATAAAGAATTCAATCTTTTTATCATCATAAATTGTTAATAGTTAGTTAAATAACTAAAAACTTTTAAAAATCATTTAAATCTTACTTTTAACACATTTGGCTTCTAAGCTTCCAGCTGTTTGAGGACCTTCATCAATAATTTTATCTATTAATTGCTTCTCAGATGCAGATATTATCTATAAAATTAAGAATGATCTAGAAATTATAATTAATGAAATAAAATCAAAAATTCTTCATTAATTTTATTTTAACTAAATTTACTCATAAGTCACCTATGGTACAATTTTACATAAATTAATCAATCAAAAATGATTGACCTAAAATAACATCAATGTGTAAATACATGAAGTTCTGAAAACAAAAATATTAAAAATATATTTAAGATAATCTAAGTTACAAACAGGTTAGATTCCCAAAATTTTGTTATAAGTAAAATGTTTATAAGTCAAAAACTATTCTAGAAAGTGTATTTATACACAAAACAATCACACATTGTTAGTGCTTGATCCTTTAATGTACTAAATAGAATACATTATGCTCATTTACCCACTCCCTACTGCTTAGTAGCAGGTGTTTTAAACATGATTTTTTTCACCAAACACATTTAGTTTTGTAAAGTCCAGTTTAGTTTCCATAGCAATAGAGCGACTCTTCTTGCATATATCTCCACTGCTAGATTTACTATTACATTTTGGATGCATTTTTGAATCACTTATCATATATATTTGCAAAAATTGCAACCAATAGCAAAAAATGCCATTACTCCAACATCACCAACTTCAATGGAATCTCATAATTTGCATAAATACAAAAAAATGATGATACGCAATAGAAATAAGCCCACATTAATTATTTATTAAAAACTTATATTTATTACTGCCCAAAGACTGACTTCAATGCCACCCCATGAGTGGCAAAAGAATTTCAGAATCCACACAAGATTTAAATTCAGATGTATGATCAAATTATCCGAAAGTGTGAGAGCACGGGTATTTTAAATGTACATTAAATAAAACATTATACAGGTATACCTCGACTTACGTCGTTTCGAGTTACGTCATTTGTCAAAAAAGTATATGGAAAAATAAAAATCAAGTTTAAGTCATTTTATTTGACTTTACGTCTGTCCACCACAAATATTGAAGTTGTAATATCACTAGAAAAGCATTTAAAGCACGNATAGATTTTTATTAATTATATATTATTAAAAATGCATTAATAAATAAAATACAGAACCAGAAATCGTAATTTATGGTTTAGCCTAGTGACAAGTAGATTCGGAGACAAGTAAATTCGACTTACGTCGCTTTCCTGGAACCAATTACCGACGTAAGGCGAGGTATACCTGTATATTAAATATATACTATGCAAGAAATTTAAATCAATGCCAAATGATGTATAAATGCACTATTATTCAAACAACTTTTAAATCTTGTAACTAAAATTTGTAAATAATAACTTGATCCAAATGTTTTCAGTAATTCTACATATATCTATTCAATCAAATAAAATACAAAACATGTTTTTAAAATATAGCAAAATTCTATTCATAATTTTTATTTTCACATATAAAACAATAATTATTTTTAATAAGAAATATGTGCAATAAAATAATTCAAAAGCAACATAAATGTTACTTTTTTAAAAAAGATTAAATAATCTTTTTAAAAATAGTAAAATAATCATGTTTTATTTTATTCTAAATATATATACTATTATAGACTGTGAAATAACACTTTTGTAACACAAAACGACTTCTAATTTTAACACTGTGTTGAGTAATAACAATCCACAAAACCTTTTTATAACAGTTGTTACCAACACTGTTATAAAAAGGTTTTGTGGATTGTTAACACTTTTGTTAATAATAATACTCTTTTAATAGTTTACATATTTATAATATTCTAAAGTAGCATATTTTCAACTTACAAAAATTTTAAATTAATTTAATCTTCTAAATAAACACAGTATCTTCTTAATTTTGTAACCTTTTGAACCTTTTGTGACCTTTTGTAAAATCTTTTCTAATTTCTTTGTTAATATAATTGTTAACTTTAAAATAAAAATTAATTAGTACATATAAAAGACTTTTAGCAGATATACATTTATATTTGAGAAATTTTTAGCATACACCCATTTACTTGTTAAAAAATATTATTTTCTATTACAAAAATATCTATTGTTTGTATAAAGTTTGTGAGAGTTTTTTAAAAATTAAATATCTTCTGGCATTCACTTAAATGTTTGTAGAAATTTATTGCATACAAATGACAAGAATCATAATGTAAAATATAACAGAAAATGTCTATCTTAATATGTATTGCTCAATAAATACATTTTGTAAATACTGAGTTAGTAATATTAAAAATATTTTTTAATAATTTCAAGTGTAATAATATTTTAAAATAATGTATAATGTAAATGAGAGAGTATTAAAAATATAATTTATCTAAACATTACTTTTAGGTCATCAAAATAATTTTGTTATTCCTATTTGTAATTTGGCAATCGGCTAAATTATTAAAATAAAAATGAAAATATTTTAATATATAAAAGTTTATTTATTTTGTTTACCTTAACATCATCTTCAGTAACAAAACCAACTCTTGCAATCCACCAAGGTTCAATTGGAACATCAATTGGTTTTACTGGAAGCAGTTCTCGAACAGACTTCAACCTCACACCAAAAATTTTCTATTTCAAATTGAAAGTATTATTCAATATAATATATCATTACAGTTAAAAAAAACTCTTTAGCAAATTTAAAATTATTTAAAATATATGAATAGTTTTATCTGACATAAAAAAACTGGCACACAAACTGGAAAAATATACTAAAATACTCATAAGTCACCTATGGTACAATTTTACATAAATTAATCAATCAAAAATGATTGACCTAAAATAACATCAATGTGTAAATACATGAAGTTCTGAAAACAANTTAAAATATATGAATAGTTTTATCTGACACAAAAAAACTGGCACACAAACTGGAAAAATATACTAAAACAACTACTTCACACCTAAATGCTACTTCCAGCAAATGAACAACAAAAAAATTTTAATGTTCAAACGTTTTCAGCCATCTTTCACAGGCCCTCGTCAGGAAAAATTGCAGAGAATAGCTGTGTTCTAATTTTTAACATTTAAACATTGTTTAAATGTTAAAAATTAGAACACAGCTATGTTCGAAAACTGTTAAAAAAATAGAACTGTTTTTCTATTCTCTGCAATTTTTCCTGATGAGGGCCTCTGAAATACAGCCGAAAACATTTGAACATTAAAATTTTTTTGTTGTTCATTTGCTGGAATTAGCATTTAGGTGTGAAGTGGTTGTTATAGTTTTATCTATCAATTATCTGATCACAAATTTATTATTAAATGTTTAAAAATATTCTGCAAAATGATATTGGATGCAACTAGATAGCAAGCAAGCAAACCAATGACATATTTTGTTTCATATAAAATGGACTGTCATTGGCTTGTTTACCTAGTTGCACTCATCAAACTATACTATATACTAACTATTCACTCATTACATAAAGAAAAATTGCTCATACATTGTTATATTTTGGAAAATAAAATGTGACTAGGATATTTACTCTATGTCCTATTACTTTTTTAACCTACAAAATCTTTATTTCAAATATTCAATCATTCAATATTTCTAAATCTACTCTTCATTGGTGTATATACAAATATAAACATATAATAACCTGATTTTTAGATTAAAGCCAAACGAGTGCCAAATTCCAATAGGTTATAGTAGTTAGTTGCATTAATATAGCCCAATGTAATCTGACAATCATTTGGCTTTACCCTTCATTGGTGAAAATATTTTAAAGAACAAAATCTGAGGGATTTAAATCTGATAATTTACAAGTTAGGAAATGGCATTTTGTACTTATTTCTGTGTCTTCAATTTAATTGTATTTTTTATTTTGTAATTATTTTTCTATAATTATGCATTTTTATTAGTTATGTTGATTATTCATATGTCCTACTTCTAGATACTAGCTTCTGGATGAATGATCTGTTAAACCTTGATAAAGAATCAGTACTGTAAGAGGAACTTAATATTAAATTTCAAGACATTAGCTATAAAATATGAGTAAATTATGTAATTATGTAATTAAAATCATTAAAAACAAATGAAATGGATATAATTATGTGAGTCCAAACTTGACAATAAATTTTTGAATAAAAGTTTTTGTTGATTGTGTTAAAATTTGTTAAAATTTTTCCCACATTTATTAAAGGTTATGACTGTATCTTTCACCCTGGAGTCACTTCCTTTCCAAGGTGACACATCAAATGTGTCATCACAAACCTAACAAAAAAAAATTCACTATTGACATAGAAATTTACATTACCAAAGATGGGCATGAGAAGAAAGACGAGAGAACCCCCAAATAAAAGGAGGAATCGATGACAATCAGAGTTCATCTGTCATCAAGAGTTTGCCATCTCCAAAGTTTGTCGCTCATCTCAGATACATCACCCATCCTGCCAATCACCACTCTATCCTGCCAATCCTATCAAACAATCTTCAACCTGAAATCCTCCGAATCACCAATTCAGCTGATCCTCCAACTCACCAACAACTAAGGAACAAACTTTCTCAATTTTTGCAAGCTCTATCTGCTCACAAACCATTGAGAACTCTCTTTCTCACTGTTAGGGACCCATGACGATAATTATAAGAGCTCATTTGCATCTTAGCTTAAAATCCTTATAAATCCTCCTATATTTGTAAATAGATGTAAATTGACATGTAAATAAATGGGTATTTGTTAATGTTAATCTTGTAGTTGAGTGCATTTCTTTCACACTGTCTCTCGGATCTTCTCCATTCCAAATCCAACTGCCTACAAGCAAGACCACTCACATGTGAACCTAATAGTTAATGGCCATTGCAATTTCTGTGTCTGTTAAGACACAGTGATGTCAGTCCTGACATGGCACTGACCCTACAGTCACAATTACTAATATGTGGAGATGAATAAGTTACAGGCATTTTGAAAGTTTAAAAATATTAAACTGTTTAACTTGTTTCTATTTTTTTTAAATTTCCTTAATGAAAAAAGAAATACAGTAAATAATTGACAGATAAATATTATAAAACTCATTATTTGCTGTTATTTTGCTAATATGTACAATCAATGGAAACATAATAGATCAAAATTAAAATACAGATATAATAATAATCATACTAAACAAATAAGAAAAACAATAAAAAGAAATATCCAAAGACATTCTTGAAGAAAAGCTGAGCATAAATACTTAATATGTAATAAACATGTATTTGTATTACTAAGGTAAATTTAAGACAATTTGGAATTTAATGTAGAAGAATAATTAAAAACTGGTTAAACATATATCTCAATACCAAAATAAAACTTTAAAGAAGATTAAATGAAAATGAAAATGGAAGATAATGATTAAAAAATATTGAATAATAATGATAGGAACAGAAGATATCATTAACCTAACTAAAAAGCTTCCAATGTAATCATAATGTGTAGATAAAAATATCCAAATAAAGGAAGTTTAATTTACAAATTTAGCACCGTAAGCTATGTTATAAAGATGATTTTAAAACAAAATCTTATAATTATTATGATTAAATTTGGTTCAAATCTAATAAAAATATTATACAATGTGATTAATATAGTTATTAATTAATTTTGAATATTAAATTAGATAGAAATTTTTATCACATTACTTCTATTTAATAAAAAAGCTGAATTGACATTTTAAACACTTTTTTGATATATAATTTTTTTCAAATGTTTGAGATAAAGTTAAACTATTTATTCTTAATATTTTCAGAATATCACCATCATGCACTTAGATTAAACTAGGATTTTTAAAAATGATTGTAGTAGTATAAATATTTAAATAGAGCTAAAGCTTTACTCAAATATTTATGCCATTTCAATAATTGGTTTGGTGATAAAGGTAAACAATAAAGTCATTAAAGAAAATAAAATACACTTAAAAGAAATTTCAACATAACTGAGAAAAATTTGACTATATTATAAATAAATATTCTGAACAAAGAAGTATTGAGAGAAAATAGTACTAAAATAAAATCTACAATCTGTAAATAAAATATGAGACAATAAAGAGAGAATGGTAAAAAACTTAAATGCAAATGTTTACGTATTTATATTCATGTATATTTATACATATTAAGTTTTCAATAGCTAGAAAAGATTAAAAAATCTTCAGGAAATTGTTTAAGAAGAACAAAAAGTAACCTTAAAATTTAAGGTAAATGTCAGATTGTAGAGAATTTCAACACCATTAACATAATTGCCGTAAAAAAAGGAAAAAAAAATTTTTTTACAGTTGTATAACCTCCAGAGAAATTTTTTCAAACAAGTTTTGCATACTGAGGAAGATGAGAGCATCAAGATAATGGTTGGCTCCACCATGAGGCTTTGTTGTGTTCCTGACTTGTGAAAAGAAAAAAAAACATGGTGATACTTTTGAATTTTCTTTTTAGTATTTCTTCTATTTTTGTAAATTTTAACCATTAATATAATCTGTAACATTTAATTCATTTTTTCATTAAATGCATACAGTGTCATTATATCAATTTCTATAAATGAGAAAGTTTAGATTATTGTCATGAATCTCATGACAAAAGATGACCAACATAATTAAATTTTCAGGCCATTGTTATGAGACCTAGATTTGAGTCCAAAATACATCCTCAATCTTTTATAGATAATTCTTATCTAAATACATCACTACCTAGCTATTGTCTTGTCAGCTTAATCCATAATGCATAAGAAAAAAGGACTTCTTAGCATCCATAGAACAGAAAAACGTAACTGCTAATCAAAATATATGTGTTTGTCATGTAAACCAAATATTGATAGCTTGTTCACATATTATATTGGCTGAATCAATATTAACTATGTAATTGTTACCTTAATCTTACCTGTAATCTTAAATTAATCTTATATGAGAAAAGACACATAAAAACATGGTTTTCATCAGACCAATTTTAACACTAAACTGATTACTTACTAAGAAGATAATTCTAAAATCCTTTTTTTTTATTAATATTGCATTTTGAGCACATCTCTTTATACCAACCAATACCAAATATGTCAAATCTGAAGAGGAGTCAAGTAATTGCTATTGTTTAATATGTATGTACAGTACCATGATATACTTGTATTACAGTACACATTAAATTATTTCTTCTAATCTACTGTATAATCCTAGTACCAAAAACATTTTTTATATAAAAGAATTTTAGAAAAAAATCTGATTTATTTTAATTGAATTTTTTTTGTCTCCTTAAAACAAAACTTAGACCATAGTTTTTATGAAATTTATACAATGTACAAAAATCATGAAAAGAACTGTGAAGCATCTGAAATATTTTCAGCCTTTGTGTAATAGAATTTTTTACATTATATAGCTTCCTCTAAGGATGTAATGAAATAATATGAAAAATATTAAAAACATAATGAACAGTTTGACCTCACTATCTCTACACTTACAATTAGTCATACTTGAATAAACTGGTATTTTCATTTCATACTTCTAAAGACTTAAATTTGTTTTCAGTGTAAAATACATATTTAATAATATTTGTTATACTGTTATTATAATTACCTATCATATATTATGTTGTTATATCAACATATTACATTGTGTATATTAAATTTATAAAAATTTGAAATTAAAATTTAAGAAAGTTTGTATTTAAAAATACATTTGTATTTAATTTGAAATAAACTTTCAACTAATTATAATATTACAATAATATTAATATAACAACATATTACAATACCATTTCATATATCATTTTACTACATTAGAAAATACTAACCTTTGAAGATCTACATTTATTCATTAAATCTATATATTGATTTCTTCCTATTCCTAACAATCGAAGACCTAAAAAATAAGCACATTTATTAAAAAAGTAATCATATGTTAGATAAAATTTATTGTTAAGGTATTGAATTTTACTTTTCCAACTGTTATATGAGCTGTTCGCAGGCCAAATTGATTAACTCCATTCGTAAATCCTTGATATAATCATTATTATTATTACATTTTTCACATAACTAATTTTATATATCATTACATTAAAGCTACGTTTTAATATAATGGTAAATAAAAATACATTAAAGCATAGCTTTAATATATATTAATATATATCATTACATTAAAGCTATGCTTTAATATAATGGTATATAAAAATACATTCTACAATGTTTATTTAAAGTTTGAAAGGAATTTTAAAAAATAATTAAGATATAGCAAATAAATCANAAAAATGACCCACAATGATTTTCACATTTTTGGACTCAGGACCTTGAAATGTTAAGAAATACAAAAAATATTTGGGTTGTTTTATTATGCCCTTACATGTGCGTGTGCACATGTAAGGGCATAATTTTGTTCACGCACTTTGAAGTTTAATAACTCCTGTATTTTTTATCAGAAATTTATGAAATTTCACAGGGAGGTTTGTGTATTAGGAAGATTGATACTATTAAATTTTAATTAAAAGTACAGGGAGGTCTTGTGTCATATCTTGAGTGGACTTAATGAAGATTTTACTTCTTACTAGCATTTGAAATTTTTTATGAAATGCATAACTATCCTAAAAATTATGCTTTTTGCCATTTTATATAAATTAATTAATAATATAAGAAGTTTTTAATAAAATCTCATAACAGATGGCACCCCAAACAATTTTAACTTTTTTGCCAAGAAAATTATACAGCTTGGTGCTGAATTTTTTTTAATTCGTAAGTACAAAATTTAGTTGACTGACCAGTTAAATCTTGCTACTGATTGCTAGTTTACTGACAAATATTTATAAGTTCTGAATAAATATTTGAAAGTAAATTACAAATAGAAAGATTTAACCAGTTAAAAAGTAACAAATTTGCATAACAAACTTTTACATTAGTTTCAACAAATGTACAAGAAAGAAAAGCAAAAATAATGAAATTTATTTCAACATTATAATTGAGATATCTTTTATTGCTACTTTCCTTTCTATAACTTTTTTCATTCATTTCAAATGTCCATAGAAGTTATTACAATATTTGTTAGAAACAATGGACTACAGATAATGATAAAAAATAGAATTATAATTTCAAAAAGCACTTTTCCATATTGATAAAATAACAATAAAATCAGCAATGCAATGATTTTCAAACAAATATTTGTAAAATTTATCAGGAGAAACTATAATGTTTAAAACAAACTAAATTTTTCAGTTAATAAATATTCTTCACCAAAAACATAAAATTAATAAGTTGAATAAAATAAAAACAGAACATCAAATATTATGAGAAATCACATTGTGTGGTGTTCATCTGTGAATAAACATTATAAAAAATATATTTTTAATATTTGATATATTTTACATCACTGTTTATGAAATATTCTTTACATGTTTTTACTACACTTTGCATGATGATATTATAAAGATACAATGATATGCCATATAAAATTTTTATATTCTTGCATATTTTAAAGTGTAAATTAATAATCAGTAGTTCAGATTACCAAACAGTTACCTTTTTAATCTATTTATAGTTGACATATCACATTTTCAAAATTATAAATTTACTTTATAAATGTATAATTTAAAAATATGTCTACTTCATAAATATTAAAATGTATTTAAAAATAATAATAATAATAATGGACTTACAGTCTGCAGCTGTAAAATTTGGAAGTGCATCATAACTTTTCTCTTGCTCCATCAGGCTCTTTTAAAATTAAAAAAATAATTAATTTTGTATTTTATAATATTATAATATTTTTAAAAAAATTAATTAATTAATTCAATTCTTACTTGCATGATAGATATATAATATTGAAAAGGTGTTAACCTCATTCTGGTTACAATAAAATCTGATAAATGGTATGGATATAACATTAAATGTTCCCTACTGTATCTTAATAATTCTTCATAATAGCTCCTTTCTTCTTTCTTGACATGACGAACTACATTCAGAACAAACAAATTAATAAATAGTTGCAAGTTAACACTAAAGAAGCACTAAAAGTTTAAACATTTTCTAAACTTTCAAAACATTTTTATGCTTATTTTTTTCAAGTATGGAGTCAACTATCTCTGATACAGTGTTTACAAATGTCCATTATTAAATGAAGAACATAATTATAGATATGTCATTTAAATATAACTTCACACGTTAGACATTTGAATCCAAATTAGATATAAAACAAAAATATCAAATATAAATAGTTTAATTACTTTATTATATCTGTTTTATTTAAATAAAATTGAAAATTTTATTATATTTTTAATTAATTATTCATTTATTTATGCAATTAAAGTAGCCATGATGTATACATTTTTAGTATTCATATCATTATCTGAATTACAAACATTATATTTTTTAAAAGCAAATCTAACAAAATCTCTAAAATGTTCATCTCAAGAGATAGATTTATTTATTTGTGTTTTGTATGTTCTCTCTTGAGTCCATTACAAATAAATGTTAAAATTTAAATATTTCTTATGACATAGCAAGGCAGTAACTATGCTATGACATAAGAAATACTATAGAGTATAGATTTAGAGATGTCCTAAGTCAACCATGCTTGCATGGTTGGTTCATGGCATCCCTAAATCTGATACATTGTGTCACCAATTTATGCATGTCTGCTTGTTAAGAATTTTATTTTTATTTTATCACTGGTATAGTGCCACTGAGGCACTAAACCACAATTATACCAGTGATAAAATAATTTTAAATTTTACAGATAATTTATGCTGAATCAGGCTGCCCTCTCAGTAACAAGAATATAAGCATTATGTTTTTCCTTCATTAAAATAGTACAGTCGACCCCCCTATAAAGCGGTAGATACGTTCCACTTTATAAGAATTTCACATTGTAGGAATCCTTAAATACATGAGCCAATCACAGCCCAGCACATGTGCAGTTTAGGGACTACGGCTGTTTGAAAGGTTTTCTTTCATAAAATTAATCGATTCTAGACTAATTTGACTCAACATTTCCAAAACATGTATAATTTTTTGGGAATAATCCATAAAAACTATGCTATAAACAAAAAAGTGTAGGATTACTTACCAAATGTGCACCGTTTGACGATGCCATTGCTTAAGCTTGTTTTCGTCACGGAGCAAAGCATCAAACGGCGGGCATGTGCTTCCTGATAAATTATTTTTTTGCAAAAACTTTGCTGAACTTTGGAGACATCATTTATATAAATATAATTTTTATGGCAGTTAAATAATAAATGGTTTTTAGTAGGTCCGCTGTTCGTTTAAACTCAACGGNGCGTGCTTCCTGATAAATTATTTTTTTGCAAAAACTTTGCTGAACTTTGGAGACATCATTTATATAAATATAATTTTTATGGCAGTTAAATAATAAATGGTTTTTAGTAGGTCCGCTGTTCGTTTAAACTCAACAGTTTGTGCAATATCCGCTACTGGTCTAGATTCGACCAATCCTGTTGTGACACGAGTCAGCGATAACATTTTACCACGTTATACGTGTCTCTTTTAGCATCTTTATACGAATACAATCACAATTTTTTCACTGTGACCTACAAATCCGCATTATATGAACCCGTTTTATAGGGGAGTCTACTATACTTTCATTGTCTTAAAAGTATCTGTGGGAATGTAATACTGCTAATTCTCTAGAAGAGTTTACTCATTCACTGAGACTAGCAAATATTTATGAAATATGCAAATAGTTTTGGAGAGAAAAAAATAAATTAAAAGTGAGCTTAAAAAATATTATTAATTCAATGTATTCCTATTTATTGTAAATAAAAGTTGTCTAATGATTACAATGAAACATTTTAAAATGAAATGAAATGCTTCCACTCTCTCCAAATCAGCTAGGTAAAAGAAACAACTAGCTCCATCTGACAAAATTCTTGGAACAAAAAAATAGCCAAAATTAAATATTGTATTATAATCTTGAGAAATATCAAAAATTAATTTCTGAAAGCAATTATTCATACGGGTAAGAGAAAAGTAATTTTAAAATAAAAACTTGTACATTCTATGTTAGTCCAACTTGATGTTACTCGACAGATTAAGTGTTGATTAGCAACTAGTACAGTGTCAGAATACAATTCAATTTTTAATTTACATTTCTTATGTTTTCATTTATTACAAACAACATAAAAGGAAATTAAAGTAAAAAATAAAGTTATCATACATATTTTTAAGGGAAAATTAAAGATATAATCATCATTAAAGCAAAACTAATTCTTACTGGAAGAAAAAAAAACAGCATTAATGACAAACTAATTTCCATTTCCTGTTGTCTTTATTTTGGAATATAATGTAAACAGTTGAACATTTCTACAAATATAATTACTCCAATGCAGATATATTTATAAGGTACAATTCATAAGATGAATCTATTCTTAGTTTAATGTAAGTGTAGTTAAAAGTTTTTTATAAGGTTTAACTTTTAATGATTACGTAATCATTAATTAAGTCAATCAGTTCAAAAACTAATTTATTTAAATAATGTTCCAAATTATTCCAAATTAGTTAATTTCTCGTTAAAACAAATTCATTATTCTTGAAACAAATTTTCTAGTGAGAATAAGCAAAGCAAATCAGATTACATTAAAAAACAAAATAAAACTATTTTTTTCTCTTTTTAATTAAAAAATAAAATGCCCTAATAAATTTTTAAATTTTAGGTTGAAAAATATATAAAACTAAAAAGAATTTAAAATGGAGAAAGGATCATTAATTAAATATAAACTTAATTATCAATTATTGAAAAATAAAATGCAGCTGTTTAGTGACTGACTGAACACTGCAAATATCTGAGAAACCAAACAAGATTATAAGCTGGGTTTAATCCAACTTAACAATAACAAATGATAAATTCACTAAAACTCTGATGATAGATATCTAATTGAATAATTTCTGAAATGAACAAATACAAAAAGAAACTAATAAATAAATGACAGTATGGCAACATATGAAAAGAGTAGAAATAAAAGCAATAAATTACATACTTTCTGAACCAATGACCAGTGGGTGACAAAAAAAGAAAAAAAAACACAAAAGAGAAAGTTCACCACTAATTGTAATCCAAATGTTTTATGTTCCATCAGAAATTCTGTTTAACACCTAAAGAACAACTCAGTGGTGTTCAAAAACGTTAGTGGTGAACTTTCTCTTTTGTGTTTTTTTCGTCACATACTGGTCATCAGTTTAGAGAATACATTATTTAATAGACTACACCCTGGTGTTGTGCGTTGCTGTTGTTTAAAGCAATAAATTGAAGAAAAGTTTTTAAATCAATGAAATGTAAACGTGTGATGTATACATAAAAACAATCTGTAACTAACAGTAATGAGTATACAAACAAACAAAAGTTGTATCATACTCCTTCAGTTTTTCATATTGATTTTAATTATTATTTTTGCTTTAGCTATATTGTGAAATATTCTAAAGAAATTGTTGAAGAATTGTATTTTAAATATAACCTTCCTATTAAAAGAACTGAACAAAAACAAATGTGTTATTTAGCATCTAATTTTACTTTCTACTATCCAATTATAGTAAAAAAAATTTTACCTTTGCAAGAAATAATATTATAAAAATATATCTTAATAATTTTAATTATGGCTGTCTTAAATGTATTTAAGCATATCAAAGATTTATAATAAATATGAAACAAATATCAATTTAAAAACATTTTTTACATAAATCAATACATAATCCTATTTCCTTCATATTTAAAAAAATAATTATTGTCAAATAACTGTATATTATTCAATATATTACTGAAAGCATTTCACTTATTAAAATGTTTGGCTTCCTTAACTAAAAAATTAAAATGGGACTATGTACTTTTATGTAGTATTAGAAAATAATTAAGATACAAAGTAATAGCAGTATAGAATTAATACACATAATACATAATGATAAAATAATAAACTAAGTGATAATAAGACTTGAATGTATTATACAAATACACACAACTTACGTTTTAAACTATTTTTATTTTTAGTAATTAAATAAGTCGATAAATATTTATCCTTACCTAAATTTCCTCGATATTTTAGTTGATTTTTCACACTGTAATGAATGACACATTTTTCGTATTCCTTTTGAGAATTTCCTAATAACTGGAAAATAAATAAAATTTAAAGCAAGCACACAAATTCAGGATTATTATATTCTATGTTACTAAAATAAACAAACTTTAAAGGTTTGATTTTATTATAATTTATTAAAACTGTGTAAAATTAAAAATTTATTTATTATTCCAATTCTGTTCATCTTATTTTAATTTAAACAACAATTCTTTTGTTGTATTATGTATTAATTGTATTAACGCATCAGTAATTTTTAATTAAAAAATAAAATGCCCTAATAAATTNATATTTGTTCGGCAACACTGACATTTTATATTACTTACAATCATTTTTGTTTTGCAATAACAACAAAACTTATGATCTAATAAAGTTTTAAAATTTGGTCGTTAAATCAAAATATATGAAGTTTAATAATGAGTAATTAAAAAACACAAAACAAAACAATCTAAAATAAAATAAAGACTCAATTATCCAGCCTAAATAGGAAATGGAGTGGACAAGATAACAAAAAAAATCCAGATAATATAAAACTACACTTAATACAAGTATGATAATATACTGTACATAAGTATTTAGAAAGACTTTGTTAGATAAACTAAGTAATGAAATAAAAATCAATAAAAACCTTCATTTATTCAGTTTAGAATTGCTTCATGCTTGGTTACAGTTACAGACTACTGTATGGGTTTACAATGAAAAATATCTTTCAAAGCATCTAATAAAAACACAGAGGAAAAAAATATCTATGGCAAATAATTGAAGAAAATATAATTACAATCTCTAATATTTTGTAAATTATTTCTGTTTTCTTAATACAAAAAAAAACTCCAGTATTAATTTAGATTTTTGTTAAAGTGAATAGAACAGCATGTGTTAAAAGATGTGTTAAAGAATCTTTTCATTTAATGGATATATATTTTTTATTATTTTCTAATGTAAACAGATATTTTAAACTGTGATTTTTTACAATCTTTTTTAATAATCTTCTTTTTATAATTTACCATTAAAATAATGTTTCATGGAAGAGTTACAAGAACTTAAAAGGCTTGGTATTATAAGAAACACACACTCTGAAAAAAGCAATCAATAAATATCTATTTTCTTTAAGATAGATCAAAATATTATCTATGGATAATCTTGAAATGATAATATTAATGTTTTTATTTTTTATCATTAAAGATTGCTAATTGTTGTTATCAATTAACTATTCCTTAATTGATAACTAAAAAAATGCTTGAACAAATGTTAACATTTAGCAATATTTTTAACTTAGAAAAATTGTAAGAATTAAAAAAATTTTAAACTTTTAATGATCATTAAATAGGTAAAATGTATTTTAAATTTTAAGATTACAGTATTTATAACAACATAACAACTCTAATTTATAATAAACTAAATTTTATATTATTATTAACATATTTATTGAATAATAATAAATGTTCTTTGAAAATATTATGGAAAAAAACTGTAATATAAGAAATATACAAAAAATTATAAATATAGAATTCTTATTTATTATTGAACAAAATGTTCTACATATCAGGAAAATTTCTGAAAATATTACTGTATTAACAATGCAGTTTATATTTGAGAATGAATACCTGACAATATTCATTGCAGATGAAAAAAAATGTTATAAAATATTTTTGTTTTTCACTGGTTTCTTAGGTGATTTTTGTCTTATTTTCAACAATTCAGTTATCTATGTGTATTCAGTTATGTACCGTACTGTACATATCTAAATTTTAAATGTGTATATACACATACCCAAGACTGCTTTTCACAAAAGAACTCTAGTACTTTCAAGTTGTATGCTTATCTTCAGGAATTAATGAGAGATAAAGATTAAGAGATGACAGATCATTATTAACAGTGTCTAGATTGAGATGAGTATAAAAATAAATAAAACAAATGAGCACCCTTGTAAATGTTTCATTTGTAACACAAACAAGACGGTTAACATATTTGAATTACAATTATATTTAAAGAGAATCTTTAACAAGCATGTACTGTATATATTAATATGTATATATCATTAGTTTAATAATTAAAGATAATCTGAAATTCCATTTTTTAAATTCACTGTTAATATGAATAATTATCTGTGCTTTTATTTTATTTTGATTGTTATGATAAAAATTGCTCTCACCTTTGTAAAAAAGTTATGTTATAAAAGATTAAAAAGTATCNATATTTATTGAATAATAATAAATGTTCTTTGAAAATATTATGGAAAAAAACTGTAATATAAGAAATATACAAAAAATTATAAATATAGAATTCTTATTTATTATTGAACAAAATGTTCTACATATCAGGAAAATTTCTGAAAATATTACTGTATTAACAATGCAGTTTATATTTGAGAATGAATACCTGACAATATTCATTGCAGATGAAAAAAAATGTTATAAAATATTTTTGTTTTTCACTGGTTTCTTAGGTGATTTTTGTCTTATTTTCAACAATTCAGTTATCTATGTGTATTCAGTTATGTACCGTACTGTACATATCTAAATTTTATCAGGAAAATTTCTGAAAATATTACTGTATTAACAATGCAGTTTATATTTGAGAATGAATACCTGACAATAATATTCATTGCAGATGAAAAAAAATGTTATAAAATATTTTTGTTTTTCACTGGTTTCTTAGGTGATTTTTGTCTTATTTTCAACAATTCAGTTATCTATGTGTATTCAGTTATGTACCGTACTGTACATATCTAAATTTTAAATGTGTATATACACATACCCAAGACTGCTTTTCACAAAAGAACTCTAGTACTTTCAAGTTGTATGCTTATCTTCAGGAATTAATGAGAGATAAAGATTAAGAGATGACAGATCATTATTAACAGTGTCTAGATTGAGATGAGTATAAAAATAAATAAAACAAATGAGCACCCTTGTAAATGTTTCATTTGTAACACAAACAAGACGGTTAACATATTTGAATTACAATTATATTTAAAGAGAATCTTTAACAAGCATGTACTGTATATATTAATATGTATATATCATTAGTTTAATAATTAAAGATAATCTGAAATTCCATTTTTTAAATTCACTGTTAATATGAATAATTATCTGTGCTTTTATTTTATTTTGATTGTTATGATAAAAATTGCTCTCACCTTTGTAAAAAAGTTATGTTATAAAAGATTAAAAAGTATCACTGCATTTTAAGGTTTTTACATGGCATAGTAACAAGTTTATTCCTTAAATTCAATAAAAGTTTATTGAATTAAACTGAATTGAATTAACAGTTTAGTTCGTACTAAAATAGTACTTATATAGAAAAAACATATTCCTTTGTAATAATTATAACCTTAAAGAATGAATAAATGAAAAAATAAGACATATTTGATGCAAAAGTGATTGATTAAGTTCTTGACACTATTTTAAAGATCTATATCTTACAAATGGTTGATTCTAAACCTATTGTTATTTTAGATTTTTCATCTTTGACATGATCTATAACTCTGAGATGATGTGTGTAAGATCTGACAGAGAACTGTCTAATGTTTTTACTTATTGTTACATATATTTATTCTGTTTAGTAGTTTATTAATCATCATACAGAAAAATTTTTGGGCTGCAATTTTTAAATTGCAGGCTTATAAATTCCAACTGTCATCCATCTGTCTGTTCTTCCTTAATCTTGAGAACAGTGTTAGATAGATAAACGTCAAGACCAGATATAGAAAGCTTAAGTTTTTAAAAAATGATAGATAATAAAATATAATTTTATTATTTTCACTTTTCAAACTAAATACCAAAACCAAATTATTAACTAATTAATAATTTTTAGTTATTTTTTGAAGGAAAATCAATTATTATAATATTTATTTAGCTATTAGGAATATATCCTAATGGAATATTTAAATAGTATTGGTTATTTTATCTTTATCTCATTCAAAAACTAATTTAATACAATCATTTAAATATGCAACATTGAAAAATCTGGAGAATTACATCAAAAAGTTATTGAATGCAAAGTTAATTCAGTATATTTTATTAGCAATAACAACTAAAAATTTATTTAATCTAATAGAGATGTCAATTGGTAATATATATGGTTGGATAAAAGGAATCATCATTATTTTCTGATACCAAGAATGAAACAAGGACTGTAAAAGTGTTTTTTAATCTCTGTAAGCAGAGAATGCCAAAACAATATTTGAATATATTTGATTCCAGCATTATTGTTGCCAAAAGTATGTAGATAGATTCCAAAGATTCATAGAAAATAATTCATTTAAATTATTAATTAAATTAGTTTTACTAATATTGAAGCATGTTAAAAAGTTAATTTTGTTTTATTAATTTCATGAATTACAGATAGAATATTTAAAAAAGCTGAGAAACAGAATTTAATTTATAAACGTTAATTTTCTGAGGCAGCAATGACATCAGCCTGCTGATTTGAATCTAAGTAAGATCCAAATAGGAAGAGATTTTTGTGAGTAGGTCAGGTTCTGTATCTTGCCACCCATTGTGAACCAGGTTGAATTTACAAGTTTTAGTCATGAGAAAAAAGACTTTAATGTCTACTAGATAGAGAATTACAATAACATTTATCAACATCTAAAATTTATATTTATTTTTTAAATGCTTGCCAATTACTAAAGTATTTTTTCTTTTATCTATAACAACAAAATCAAAAATATCTCATTCTAAGAAACAGAATGATATTTGCTACGTCTTTCATATTTTATTCATCATTGGACTTTAGATTAAAATTAAAGTATTAAACAATTTTATAGTAGTTTTTTTTTTTCTTTTTAATTACTTCTGACCTATGAGCACTAAGAGAACTTTTTTGACAAGGCCATTATGAGTTCAACCTGGTCCAAAATGGGCCAGCTGGATGGTGAGGGATAGGGCCTGATGTACGTAGACAGACCACCCTCTGAAAAATTTCTGGAATTTTTCAACCTGTCTGGATTTGATCCTGGGTCCCCAGAGTGGTAGGCTTACACCTTAGCCACTTGATCATCCAGTCATCTATTTTTGAAAGTATGGCCATATATTAATAAAGAAATAATTACAGTTACAAATACCTTTGACAAAGAAAATATGCAATATGTTTCTTTTCTGAAATTATATTTAAAAAAGAATATAATTTTACTCTTTAAAAAATTGTTTCCTTATTAATTGTATTGTAATGTTCCGAAACTGTACAATATTAGACTTTTAATATTTAAGAGTCTAATGACAGATAAAAATCTGAAAACATCTATGGAAAGAATTTTTGTCTTCTAAAACATCATTTAATTTTGTCATTCCACTAACTAGTTTTATTTCAATTCAATTATAAAATTGATAATTAAAATATTAATCAAATGACAATAATTTTTCATATTCTGGATTAAAAATATGATAAAAAACAATGTTGTAATTAATAAAACAATTAAAAATTAACAACAGTTGCAATTTTTTAAATAGTTTATATAATATCAGAAATACATCTATTTGTTCATTTTAAATTTAAATATAATAATAATCTATTATTATTTAAAACATTAAACAATTTTCCTTAATTTATAAATAAGTGAAAATTTTTTTAAAAGGTACTTTTCTACTAATGGGACACCAGTCAATATGTACAGCAACGAGTAAGATTCAAGCTCTGAATGAAGGGTTTTGCAATCCCAGAATTATTGACCCCCTGTAAGAGCTAACAAGTCAAAAGAATGATACTGTATATGTGACCCTTCACAAGATATTCACCTCCAAAGGTCAGTTTTTAATTTGCACAAGTATACTGCCTATTCTCCATGCTCCATGTTTTCAAGGCAAGAGATAGAGAGCCTCGACCAACACTCCACTAGTAGTCGTGCTTCGGTGCTTGCCGTCGCTCGCACCTCAGCAGCCAGGCAGGGGCAAGCCCCCACACTCCTAAAACTATATCACCATGTACTCCACGAACAATCAAGTGAGCTACTCAAAGCCCACATAGTCGCATAGTTAAACACGATAGTCTTAATGGAGTGACACAGACAACAGTACTGCGCATTGAATTAAAGTTACAACCAGCATCCCATTAACAGAAAAGTACCAAACAAAATCCTTCCCATTATAAACATGTAAATAAGTAGGTAAAATTTCAGTTCCAAATGAAGAGAAGAGTTTGGACCCCCTAAATTTTAGCCAATCACACCCAGAAGTAGTCAGTGCAATGACATTTCTCACGTTTCAGGATCATTCAGCCATCTGTAGTAAAATAGAAAACAGCCGATTTTTAGCACCATTTTGATACATAGTTCCAGGTTCTTTCACTTTAAAATTTTATCCCATTTTTGAGTCTTCAAAATTCTAGATAGGACAATTTCGGGGGGACAATATCTCGCAAAGGGTCACACACAGACCATCAGTTCTCCCAACGGGCACGATCCACGGCTCCAACAGTCCCGACTACCTCGTTCGGAGCCGCACCCATACCAATAAGGTAGTCTAAATAACCAGAAAAATATTTTTAAAAAGGCCCCAAAAGATAAAACGGTTATATACCTGAAAATTAAAGATAAATAAAATTTCCAGAAAAATTAAGAAGTTATTTTAACACATATCTTAATTTAATAACTGACTACAAGTTTAAGGAGAAGTTACCTTTAGTTAATTTTCACATACATACATATACATGAAATAACCTAAAAGTAACACCTACCAACAGTTGATACATTTAAGTGAATTATTTATTAATCTATCAGATTTGAAAGCTCATATTAAATTATCTAACACCATTTTTTTTATTTATTGAGTAATAAATTAAGAAAAATACATGTAAACATCAAGATACATGTAAAGTAAATGTTGACAATAAAATACATAGCTTCTACCTGTTTAATAGTTAAAGGAAGCAACTCCCAAGTACAATTATCTCTAATATAAGACTCGATATCTGTATTCATACTGATCTTGGTCCCTTCCTGCTCTTCACTACGATAATATAAACCAAATAAAAATAATAAAAACAACCTAATTCGACCTAGGCCTATGCCAACAAGTTAAATCACAAACTTTGCCAACTGACATCTTGAATCCGAATGTTTGTATATCCTAAATGAACCTAACCTGTACAGTTAATTAATTAATTTTTCTCTTCTAATATTCTGTTGAATTAATATTAATAATTTTGAGTAGTTTATTATTAATTATTATTTTATATAAATATTAATTTATTATTCTGTGATATTTTCATTTTTATATCTATGTTTTGAGTATTTTTTTTTTTTTAATTCTTTCCGTTCTGTGGATCTCGTTTAACAAGCCCGTTATGGATTCGGCCCGGCCCACGATGGGGCGGGTGGTGAGGTACGGGGCCCGACATAACCGGACGGACCCGTACTCGAAAAATTCTTGGAGATTTATCGACCCCGTCCACAATCCGGGTCCCCTAAAGCGGTAGGCTGTCATCTTGACAGCTCGACCATCCCGTAGCCATTTTGTGTATTGTATGTTATTGTATGAAATTAAAATATAGAACGTAGATATGTGGGTCAACTCGTCATCAAAATTTATAGGATTCAATCCGCATCGAATTTTCTTTTTAACTCTTTCCGTCTTGTGAATCTTTTCTCCGTAACCGTCGTTAGTTCGGCAAGGTCTACAATAGGATGGCCGGATGGTGAGGAATGGGGTCTCGAACTCAGTATTCCAGAGTGGCAGGATGATTTTATCATCTTAACCAGTAGCATATGCGGAGAGGTTAAAAGTCCTAATATCGATTCTAATTACACTACTGATCACAATCATCCGACCATCGAATTTTCACTATTAAGAGTGTGTATGACAGGGTATTTCACCAACATTGCCTAATCGTGGTATTTGTAAATCCAGCGATTAGACTAATACCGAGATTACTGACGCGAGGATTTCACCAACAA